CCCCGTCGCCTCTGCCGCCACCAGGCCCTTTGCGCCTGCCTTGGACGATCACCTGCCGGCAGTACTGCCTGGGAGTCCCCACCCCAGCCCGGGACCCGTCCCGTCCACTTGATTACCAGGCAACGCCACTGCGTCCCTGAGCCTCCGCTGGTAACAAACTGTCTACCAGGTGCCGTGGCTCACACCTGTCATCCCAGGGTTACTCAGGAGGCTGAGATCTGAGGATTGAGATTCAAAGCCAGCTCAGGCAGGAAAGTTCGAGAGACTCTCATCTCCGGTTAAGCACCAGAAAACTAGAAGTGACACTGTGGCTCAAAGTGGTAGAACAATAGCCTTGAGCAGAAAAGCTCAGGAACGATGTCCAGGCCCTGAGTTCAAGCCCTATATCACACACACACACGAAATTGTCCCCAATAGCCTTGAGCAGAAAAGCTCAGGAACGATGTCCAGGCCCTGAGTTCAAGCCCTATATCACACACACACACACACACACACACACGAAATTGTCCATGGCCACAAACCAATTCCCGTTTCTGGTCCAGCCATTACATTGGAGGGGATTAAGCATTGGGGTGGGGGTGGGGGGTTGGCGTGCTTACTTAGCTAGCAGATCTTTTGTGATACATTTTGTAAGCATTTACAGGAAGAAAAAGAAAGAAAGAAAGACATTACATGTTACTTAGCATGTTGAAAAATTCCCCAGGAGGTCAAGAGAGGGCACAAAGTGGAATGATTTGAAGTTAGAATTTTTTTTGGTCAGTTGTGGACTTGACCTCTGGGCCTGTGCGCTGTCCCTCAGCTCTTCAGCTCAAGGCGAGCGCTCTACCACTTGAGCCACAGTCCCACTTCCGGTTTTCTGGTGGTTCATTGGAGATCAAAGTCTCACAGACTTTCCTGCCTGGGCTGGCTTTGAACCATGATCCTCAGATCTCAGCCTCCTGAGTAGCTAGGATGACAGGCGTGAGCCACCAGCGCCCGGTGAAAGTTTTTTTTTTTTTAATCCTTCTTTTCTAGAACAATAGGTGGTTTAGTGTGTGTGTGTGTGTGTGTGTGTGTTTCTGGGGAAACAGAGCTGTAAGGCTCCGAAAGAAGCCTGAACCTGTCTCCCTGGCCTATAAGGCTGCCGGAAGACTGTCTGTCTACCTGAGGATGGAGGATGCAGGGGTGAGGACAGGTACCAACCATCTCTAGCACCTGACAGCACCCCTCAGGGGGGTAGGGGGCTTGACTGAAAGGTGGGGCCCCCTGAACTCGGGGCTCGGGAAGAGAAGCCCCATCTCTGGGCACAAAGTCTCTGTGTTCCCATGGCTGCACGTTTGTCCATCCGCCCCACTCTGCGGCCCCGGGTATCCACCGTTTCTCTCCCACAGGTGAGAACAGCGTCATCCACGGCAGGGAGGGGGTGCCCCAAGGTCACCCCGTTTCTCAAGGGCCGATCTAGATATGAAAATGTCTAGGACCAGACTCTGCAAGGGAGGCCACGGTGCCCCGTGACACTGAGAAGACCTGAAGATTCAAAGAACCAACAGCAAAGAACCCCTCCTCCTCTCCAGGCCTCAGTTTCCCTATCTATGAAAAGAACTTGCCGGCTCTGACCTCCAGAAAGTCGCAAAAGTCGGGGCAGCGGGTTTGTCATCTGCTGTTCCCACGTGTGCCCCTTGGAGCACGTTGTGTGCTTTGGGTCTTGGCCACCCTTGTCTGAAAGTGGCCAATGCCAGCGCCTGTTTAGTAGCCGTGGCCTGGCACATAGTAGGTGCTCACTAACCTGGGCCTCCACGTGTTAAGCTAAGCTCGTTTTAAGCAAGCTTGGGTCCTTCCTCCTGGTGCAGAATTGCTCCTGAGGTCAGGGCCACCCCAGGTCCCCAGGCCTTTGTCTCCAGCTCTGGTGTCAGGGCTGGGCTGGGCGGAGAGGCCCCTCCCCTGTCACTGATCCCAGACAGCTCCCTAGGGACTGGCCAGCCGCTGGCAGCTGCTGCTATCCCCCCCCCACTGCACCCCGGCATTGATGGTTAACGGCTGCCCTCGGCCCCAGGAGATGGCCGGCCAGGCAGCTGTGCACAGAGCCACATTAGAGCAGTGGATGATCTCTAGAATGATCGCTGGAGATGTACGGAGTGAATGAGAAGCCCATAAATGTCTGTCGACAGGGTGGTGTTATTCAGGGAAGGAAAAATAGGAGTGATTGAAAGAGGAGCATCCATTATAAATGATCATAAAGGCTTGCTCCCTGACCGAGCACCTGGTCCCCAGCCTGCCGGAGGCCTTGTCCCCACACCTCAGGTACACAACCCGTTCCCTGAAGATTTCATGGGGAAAGCAACTGAGGCACAGAGAGGGGCAGCAACGTGTCCAGTGCCACACAGCATGGACAATTCATCCGCTTGCAAAGGCTGGTACCGGGCTGGTGTGGGGGGGGTGGAACTTAGGGTCTTGCTTTCTTACTTGGCTTTTTTCACTCAGGGCTGGGATTCTACGGGCTTGAACCACACCTCTAGTTCTGTCTTGTTTGTTTGTTTGTTGCTGGTTAATTAGAGATAAGTGTCTCTCAGGTTTGTCTGCCTTGCTCAGGCCCAGAACTGTGATCCTCAGATCTCAGCTACTGAGTAGCTAGGATGTGCGTCACTTCCGCTTGCTAGAGTTATTTAAACTGGTCTCCTCATCTACCCAACTAGTACAAGGATGCAGTCCCCAGAGCATGGAATTGGGGGGGGGGTTCAGCCCAGGAAAAGTAAATGGAAAGAATTAAAGTCCCCAGCCCCTCCCTCCCCCTCACCTCCCCAGCTGTTAGGATTGTGTTCCTGTTGGTTTCTGCCCTACTGGCTCGTGGCTGTTCTGTTCAGAGGGTAACCTATTCCAGGCGAATAGGAAGGGTTTGTGCTGGGAGGTCTAGCCTGCTACTCTCTCCACTCACCACCCCACCCCTGCCGGCTGGCCAGGGAACTGGGCTGCTGCTGCCACTCCCCCCCCCTGCGAGGCCTGTCTACCCAGCTCAGCCCTGTTTTTGCAGAAGTGGGGGGGGGGACAAACTGCCAGTGCTCTCAACTGTTTGTGGGTGGGGCTGACTCCTCCCTGTTGTGTGGTGCCTAAGTGCCTGGATGCGGGACCCGGGTGCTCCCCAGCCCCCCCCCCCCCCAGCCTGCGACTCCAATGTGTCTACAGGGAAGTAGCTGTTGCCTTCCAGAGGAGCTTCCAACTCAAACCACCACCACCACCACCACCACCTCGTGAGGGGCGGGGTCTAAAACGACAGGGCGTGGCGGAATCCTGATGGGGCGTGGCCCGGACAGGCGCATTTTACAGATCAGGAAACGCAAGCAAGTCTTGAGACTTGTTCTAGCTGTATTTTAGGGATGAGTAAGAGTCCATTTCTTGAGTTCCTGGCTTCCACCCAGATCCACTCAGTGCCTGCCTGCCTTTGAGCATGGGCAATATCTCATTTAACTCCCTCCCTGAGTGGCATCTAATATCCCCTTGGCAGGAATGAAGGAGTGCTTGGAGGTCAGCTCATCCAGGATCAGCCAACTCGGTTGTCAAAGCAACCCATGCCACGGGCGGATGCCATCTCACCCCCACCGCACAGGCTCAGAGAGGTCCAGCCAGCCCGAGAAGCTCAGTTTGCACCCTTGCCCACCCCTTGGCAGGATTTGAACTCTGCTCCTACTGGAAGGAACCCTGGGAAAGGTCCTTTTATTTCCCGGAGCCTCAGCTACTCATCAGAGCAGCGTCCTGGGCCAGGAGTGATGGGTAGGGACATCTACTGTCCCTCGCCTGGCCCCAGCTCTTCACTCAGCCAGGCCCGGGGCCTGTTAGCATCTGTGGGCTCTCAGAAGGCAGCGTCTCTCTGACTGGGGGCTGCTGAGTGCTCAGGCACTGGTCACGAGCTGCCGTGGCCCCAGGACGCAGACAACCCCTGGGTAAACAGGGCTGATCCAAGGTGACAGCCTGCCTGTCCCAGGCCCGCCCCGTCCGGTCCCCATTCCTTCCTAGGGCTGGGCCCATCCATTCACACATGGTGCTTGCTTTGGGAAGGGGGGGGACTGGGAACTGGGTCAAGTCCCCCCCAGGTCCTCCCTTCTGGTGGCTGTGTGGCCTTCACAAGCCCCTTCTCCCCTTTGGCTGGACTGGCCAAGCCCCTTAAGGGCCTTTCTGTTTGTAAGGGTTGTAGACAAAAAAAAAAAAAAGGAGAATTTGGAGGGCACCCCCACCCCCTGAAACTCATTCCTTTCTATTTCAAGAGAGAATTTGGTTGGGCTGACCTCATTTTTCTATCTGGGGACCCATCCGGTCTTGAAGAACCCTTAAGACCATAGAATTCATAGGAAACAAGGCTCAGAGGGGGCACACCACTTGAGGAAGGTCACACAGCCAGGTTAAGCACCCAGGAATTCTGACACGCCACTTTCTGTACCATCCAAGAGAGGAGAACTCAATTCCCTCCAGAAAGCTTTTGAAAGGGGACATTTTCTAAAGCCCCTGCTAGGGCCAGTGTGGAGAGAAAGCTGTCGTGGTAGCTGTCACCAGGAGCTGACCTCTTTTGGAGGGGACAAGAACAGCAGGCATTTAGTGGTCCCTCCCAGTCCTGCAGAGGGACTTACTCTGAAATCACCCTGGCTCTCCTGCCAGGGTCCCCACCAACGGAACAACCAGAGAAACCCGTGTGATCACACTTGGAACACTGACAATCAATCATCTCGTGCGTTCTGTGGGAGCCCCCACCTACCTGTAATCCTGTGGGCGTCGGTGGTGATTTGGCCCTGAGTGGCGAGCAATCTCTGACATGATGGATGAGCTGTCACTGTCTATCATCTTGGAGAGGGGAAAGACACGCAGAAAACAACAGACAACACACACAAACGACAAACGTCCATCAGTGGTGATGTGCAAACACGAAGCCCCCACTTCCCCACAATTCAGAAGGGTGGGGGGATTCTCCCAGCACCCCCACCCCATAGTTCCTCCCGGGGCAGATTCCATTAGAAGCCAATGAAGAGAATGGCAGGAAAGTCTAGGTTCTTTCCCGTTCATGGGGGAAGGGCTGGGGAGGGGGGGGGAATAAAAATGGGCACCTGCAAAATAAGGAATCTGAACCTTATCCCCTCCCCAATCTTCCATGGCCCATCTCCGTTTCCGTGGGGGACACTTTGAAAAACTAACAATATTTTTTAAAAAAAGATCAAAGAGAAACTTGATGGGGGGTTTCTCTGGGTCAGACAAATCCTGACTTGTGTGTGTGTGGGGGGGGATCTCAGAGCACCCTGATCGGCCTTCAGCAATGCCACGGACTGGGGAACCAGCCTGCCTTCCACTGCCCCCCTGCAAACACAGCTCTAACCGAACCAAGTTTTCGGGTTGCCCCTCAATTTCTCCAATCAAAACCAGAGACGCATATAAATCCCGCCAAAGACTCTGCTCAGTCACCCGGAGTCCTCCTCGAGGAGGGTCCCCCGGAAAGAGGGGGGAATGGAATAGAGGGAGACACCCCCCGTCCCCCTCCCCGTCCTCCCCTCCCTGCGCCCCGGGGTCCCCCTCACCCGGGGAAGGGCGCTGCCCGGGCGGAGGGCGCACGGCCCACCCTGCAAGGCGGTACCTGGAGCCGGTCCTCCCGCGGAGGGGCAGGGGGGTCCGGAGGAGGGGAGGGGGGCTCCCTGGCGCTCGCCCCTCGCCTCCTGCGATTTGGCCGCCGTCGCGGCAGCTCGAACCGTTTTTAAATTTCCCTCTTCTGGAGCTGTCCAGCTCGGAGCATGCGCAGTCTCCGTGCGGGGGGCTTTTTTTTCCCTCCCCCGCCCCCCAAGGGTCAGTTACAGGGCAGGGTCAAGGGGCTGCGCGGCGCTCCCGGCGGCGGGGCTCGAGGGGGGGCGGGGAGGGAGGGCGGCC